TGGGAATTTAACAAAGGTTTTGTTTGGCCTGCCACAGCACCCATAACTTCTTTTTTAATGCTTCTGTTTTAGTATCTGAAAAAGGCAGTTCACAAAAGGTGGTAGGAGATAAGCAGAAAATAAGATGGATCCTTTCTTCCCATGATCCCAGTGTAGATGCCGTTCTGAAATCCATGTCGCTCCTTGCTAGTGACAGCTATCTCTTGTGCTCCTCTCTTCCATAGGCATCACAGCTCTCTGGTCTTTGGCCATTATCTCTTGGGAACGCTGGGTCGTTGTCTGCAAGCCCTTTGGAAATGTCAAGTTTGATGCCAAACTGGCCATGGCTGGCATTGTCTTCTCCTGGGTGTGGTCTTGTGTATGGACAGCACCACCCATCTTTGGCTGGAGTAGGTGAGTGTGAGGTGGAGGGACTAGGACACGCAACATTAGCGGGGGGAATGGTCGGCATGGAAGGAAATGCTGCCAATACGAAAGAGGTCAGATTTGCCTCTAATATCCTTCCCTCCAGTGAGCAGCCTGGCATTATTTCCTGGAGTATGGACTGGTTTGATCATCTTGTGGCCCAAGACACTCTCAGAATTTGTGACTATATACAGGGGAAGATGTGACTATATACAGTGTTCTGTATTCAGCAGATAAATTCTATGAGGTTAGCTAAACTCACTCAGAAGTCTTGCTCTGGGTGAGCTGCTTCTACTGCAGATGAGTTGAGGAAGTAAACTGTTCAGTGGTGTTGGTCATGGCATTCCTTGCTGGGAAGAAACAAGGAGAGCGCACAGTCTCCTTTAGCCTATAGGACTTCAGAAGTAACTTTAGACAGGTGCAGCTGCAAAGCTCTAAACAGAAAATCAGCACAAGGGTATTGAGCTCAAACTTGGGCATTTCAAGATGCTGGGAACATTTCAAATATTTGCTCTTGTGTCCTGTGAATGTCAAACATACATTTTCCAGAAATTAATTTACATCTCAAGTTTGCATTTTTCTTTCTGTTTTCCTGGAATGAATGTCAGTTGTTGTGAACACAAACAGCACTAGGAGAGTATCAAGGGTGTTTTATATGTAGTCTGTGAGAGCAACTTTTCTCCCTCTCCAACCTATCCTCTAGGTACTGGCCTCATGGCTTGAAGACCTCATGTGGTCCAGATGTATTCAGTGGCAGTGATGACCCCGGTGTTCAGTCTTACATGATTGTCCTCATGATCACCTGTTGCTTCATTCCCCTGAGCGTCATCGTTCTCTGCTATCTGCAAGTGTGGTTGGCTATCCGTGCGGTAAGTACTCACACTGAAATACAATTCTGCCTTCCAAGTGGAATAGCTACGTCTTTCCCACCTCTCCAAGAATGCCACTTCACCTTAATCCTGTCCCTTTTACTAACTCTCATCCTCTTTAGACATGTAACATCTTTCATATTTGAATTCCAAACTGGGCCCCCCTCTGGGAATGTTTGGTTAGTGACATCCCTGACAACCCACCTTTCTTATGAAAAACCTTGCTCATATTATCAGTTTCTGTAAGATATTCTCTATATACTTGTATTCTTAACAGCATACTGGCATCTGGCCCTAGACTGTTCTTAAATCCCTATTAAACCTTCCAAGAGGCTTATCCGTAATTTTCATTGGATTTCTTTCCCTTCTTCTTAATTAACATTATTTTGCCTATCAGAAGATGCCCTGTTTGCAATTGAGTGGCTGTGTCTTACCAAGGGGTTCTCCCCCCCCCTACCCTCCCCACCCCCGGCTAGGCTAGTGTGGTTAGTGTGGTTTATTCCCTTGAGAACTGGACTATGACCTTGGGTGAGTCACACTCTCTACCGCAGGAGAAAACAATGATAACTTACCTCTGAACAAACCTTATCTGCAATATGTTCACCTTAGGGATGCCATAAGTCAGAAAGAATTTGAAGGCAGTCAACAACACCAGAAAAGCCTACAACGTAGGCCAGGGGTCCACAAACTTTTTAAACAGAGGGCCAGGCCACAGTCCCTCAAACTGTTGGAGGGCCGGATTAAAATTTGAAAAAAACATGAGTGAATTCATGTCCACACTGCACATATATTATTTGTAGTGCAAAAAACACTTAAAAGCAATACAATAATTAAAATGAAGAACAATTTTAACAAATATAAACGTATTAGTATTTCAATGGGAAGTGTGGACCTGCTTTTGGCTGATGAGATAGGATTGTTGTTATTGTGTGCTTTCAAGTCGTTTCAGACTTAGATTGACCCTGAGCAAGGGCTGGGTAAATGACCTTGGAGGGCCGTATTCGTCCCCCGGGCCTTAGTTTGAGGACTCCTGACCTAAGCAAACTGAATCTCTTTCCTCATTGCATCACAAATGTTATGCCCTTTGTAATCCAACTCCTTACCTTTCTCTTGCACAGGTTGCTGCCCAGCAGAAAGAGTCGGAATCTACACAGAAGGCTGAGAAGGAAGTGTCAAGGATGGTGGTAGTCATGATCATTGCCTATATCTTTTGCTGGGGACCATATACGATCTTTGCCTGTTTTGCTGCTGCCAACCCAGGCTATGCCTTCCACCCCCTTGCAGCTGCTCTGCCTGCCTACTTTGCAAAGAGCGCCACCATCTACAACCCAATTATCTACGTCTTCATGAACAGACAGGTAATTTTCTGTGTCCTCAAGTGGACTGTGATAGGGTTAGCTAGAAAAGAGAGGGCTGTGTGGGTTAGACAGAACACAATATACAGGATGCACTCCAGATGTTGTAGCACTGCGGCTTCCAGTATCCTTCCTCATTGGCTATGCTGCCAATGCGGAAGGGATTTTTAGTCTGATCATATCTGGATAGCCATCCAATTCCTACTCTTGGCCCAGGGGATTCTACTATGATAGTTACTTGCTGGAGGTGCGTAGAGCTCATTTTGTAGTTTAGGGAGGAGCCTTTAACAGCCTCACTAAACTATAAACCCCAGAATTCTGCAGGAGGCAGAAACTGGTTTTAAAGTGGATTCATTCTCTAGTAGCTACTTATGCAACTTTTTTCTCTCTCCTCCTTCCCATTTGCTCTTTTTTCTTCTGGCAGTTCCGTAACTGCATAATGCAGCTCTTTGGCAAGAAGGTGGATGATGGCTCTGAATTATCCTCCACTTCCCGCACTGAGGTCTCTTCTGTCTCTAATTCCTCTGTATCACCGGCATAAGAGCCCCCTGCCTGAATAGCCACAAAGACCAGAGATTCTGCCTCCCAGGAGAGCCCCAGTGAGAACTTCCTCTTTCCTCCTGGACTGACCGCTGCTGAACAGATTCCCTTTGAGAATATGAAATACTGGCCTGCCATCTCTACAGATCCTCTTCTCTGAACTTATACTGCTCCCTCAGCTGGGAATGCTGCTATTTCTCCCCTGGTGATTTGGGGGAGGGAAATGTTTCTGCTTTTCCTCTCAGAATTGCTTTGGGATGGGGGTGAAGGGGTGAGGAATTCTCTGCTCAACTATCCCATATTTCTGCAACATTTCCAGGAGGTGTTGTTTGAACATTCTTTGCCCAAGGTCACTAGTCTTCCCGTGCACCCCTCCCCCTTCTCCCCAGAGGAGCAGAATAAAGGGGGTTCCCTGTGGAAAGCATATCGCTTTTGTAAAGCAAGTCTGTTGGAGGCCCTCTTAGCAGTGAATCTGCCCTTGCACCCGCATCCTCCCCCATGATCCACATCCTCCGACCGGATGGACTGACGTTGTGTCCCAAGAGCGAAGATTACCCACAGTTTGGCAACATAGGCCATATTCTGGTTCCCTTTTGCTCTGCCCCTCCTATGAAGTTTTCACTGGTGCCAGGGAGTGCATTGAAGGGGGGCTGGGAGGAGAGAAAGTTTGTCCCCCGAGGTGTCTGTGCCTCAGCCAGGTCGAATGCATTGAATTTTAGTTCTGTTGAAAGTGGGCATGATTCTGACATGGGTAGAACCAATGAGACTCAGCACGATCCACCTCAGTCATTGCAGGGGCTTTGTGCTTCTCCCCAGCATGGCTCAACTGGAACCATTCTGTACATAGTGTTTGATACTAAAGCCTATTGTGTCCCTGGGACATCTAGCTAGAAATGCAAAGGGGAAAATGACCAAAAAAAAATCTGCAGCAGTGAGAGTGAGATAGAGAATAAAGATTTTTAACTTCTGTATATAAGTTCTGTTCTTATCCTACCAAAAAAACCTGAACAAACACTGATACACCCAAAGAATGCCCTTTGCCCAGAAGTGTTTGCTTTACATCTATGCATGCGAGTGAGGTGGTGGTGATGGTGGGGTGACTGCAATGGAGGCAGAGGTTGGGGGTCTGCTTGATGATTACAGACTGTGTGGAGAGATGACCCAGAAGGACCAGCTTTCACTGCTAGCAAATATATGTTTACAGGTATGAGGAATGGTCAAATGGCTCTTCAAACAGGAGAACTTGGAGGGACCATGACTTGAAAAAAATTGGAGGGGGGGGGGAATACATCAGACACATGAGGCATTATCCACAGAGAATGTTATCCAAGGTAAGAGACACAAAGGGGAGCTGCATAAACCACACACTGTAGTAGACGAGGCCTCTTTTTAATTAAAGCGTAGTAGAATCTGATTTGGATTTCCCAATCCAGATGCCACAATGTCGTGGGAAATTCCTGTGTACACCTCCTAGGCTAGGTAGACATGCAGAACCACAGTTTAGTTAGACAGCAATATTAGGGTGGAAGGCCGTTTGGTTTCATTTGTTTCCTTCCATACTCTATTGAATTCAGAATGTGTGCACATTCACATATGTAGATACGAACTCTGTGTGTGTCTTTTTTGTCTCGCCTGTGATGTCTTTTCTCATCAAGAATGGACACACAGCCCTTACACTCCCTGTAGCCCATTTAGACCAATCTGAGATGCTGGAACTCAGCATTAGTTTTGTTTTTTTTAAATGACCCGTCATAATTAAAAAGAGACTAGGGCATAGATAAACATGTAGAGGTTTTTAAATAGATAAATAAATAAATAAGTATGAGGGAATGTTGGAAAGCAATGTAACGGGTGAGGAAATGCCTGTGCCTTTAATTCCCTGGTTATGAAGTGGAGGGGAGCCACGTTTTCCATTCCGATGGGGCAAAGTGAGGAAAATAGTTCCAGGCTGCGCTTATGATGATAACCACAAGAAGAGTGGTAATGGCACGCCAGCGAGTGCGCAAGAGCGGAAGGGCAAAGGTTGAAATGGTGGAAGCACACACCAGGAAAATGGCAGCAATGGTTAGCAGGAGGTTCATAAGTTGCCCGTAAAGTTTATATACACTGGCCTGGGGCAGTTCCATTGCCTCTTGTTGCTGGGTCAGTTGCTGCATTTCCAGTTTGGCCAGCCGAGTCTGGTAGGACTCCAGCACCTCCTGCCAAAGAGAGACGAAGAAAGCAGGAGGTCAGGATCTCAAGGGAACATATCCCCTACATGGGTGGGCTCTGTCTCAGCTAACTCTTCAACTATCATTTGACTCATCATATGATTGCCTCCTTCCCTTTGTGGTATCTGTCATATACTACTGTCATTTGGTGTGTAGTCAGAATCCATACACGCAGGCCTGTAGCCAGGATTTTGATTCGGGGGAGGGGGGTGAGTTTCATTCGGGGGGCTGAGTCTGAGTGAAAGAGTGTCTACTCTAGCAAACCTTTTGTATTGTTACCCCAATACCCCCATGCATATGGGATATATTGAGCATGGTGATCAGATCATGATATGAATAAACATAACAGTTTAAATAATGTACCAGTAAGGCCTTCTCGTGGACCACCATGAGAATTTCAGGGGGGGGGGTGAATCCCCTCAAACCCCCCCCCCCCAGCTACATGCCTGCATACATGAGAAACAGGCTCAGGGAAATGGGGGTGGGGTGGGGGCTTCTTAAAAGCATACAAAGAAGCTCAGAGGCTACAGAGTGCTGACCACCTTTTGGGGAAAATTCTGATTTAGGAACACGCTCCACACTACACCATTTTGTTGCATATCCCATTCCTTCTATCCTAGTGACCGTTAACACATGCAAGATAATTCATTCGCAGAAATAACACTAGGGCTGAATTCTTAGAATGAGGTGAATGGGTGTTTCTAAGAGTTTCCATGTGGGGGCATCTAGGGACCTTCCACAGCCCGCACTTCCTATGTCTGGCAGTAAGAAGTACTATCCCGAAATACAGAATGCCCTTTGCAGGGCTCTTTAGTGAGGTCAATGCTGGTAAATCCTCCCCCCTGCATTCTAATACATTCTATTAATAATCACCTGCATCCTCTGAGTTTCCTGACATCCGGCTTTGACACAGTTAATACAACCTTTGCCAGGTTCACCCAAGAATATAATTCTGTATCTAAAGCTGGTTATGGAAATTTGAGCATTGTGTGACATTTTCCTCCTTAGCTATTTTTCTCATTTCCCTTGTCATGGCAACCAACCCCCTCCTCTAGTGTGTCCCAATCCCCAGTTCTCAGAATATAATACACATAACCCGGACTTCTGAATTTAGATGTCCCTTACCCAGATGTCCCGAGACCTCTCATAAGACTGGTACACCATCTTCTCTTCAGTACAAGCCAAGTCATGTTTGAGGTTGGTGATCTCATTGAGATTGATCTGGATCACATCGTTCACTTGTACCTCCAGATTATAGCGCCTGAAGGAGAATTGCATAGTCAAGGGGGTGGACTGGATGAGGTTTAACAGTCTGATCCCACTCTCTCTCTCACGTTCCCCACCCTGGCTCAAGCCAGCTGGCTGATCTTGTTACAGTCGGAGCTTAACTCACTACTGGTAAATGGATTAGGACCAAGTTGGCTCTGCTTCCTCATTTGACACTTGCGATGTCAAGAAGTGGAGGAGTGCTCTCATCCTGGGGAGTCATTTGGATTTAGGAGTACATTGGAACAAATACATTTTGTGCAGAAAGAGCACTGAATCTAAACATAGTGAGAAGTGTATTTGTGAGGAAAAGACATGTTACCAGTGGCATGGGGTAGATATGCTCCTCAGTTGAATTAATTCATATGTTAATTAAACTTTAAAGCAGTTTGCAGCCAAGTTTTCTCTTGTAGGGTTCATTGGCAATGAAAATAAATATTAGGAATGTTAAGAAAAACAAAGCTCATAAAATTTCTTGAGTGCCAGCACAAATCTTGCAGATCCAGTGCTGAGCATCAAGAAGGCCATTGCTATGTCCTAGCAATGGCCTTCTTAGACCTGCTTGTCTTCTTCACCACTGCAGTCCACTTGATTATCTATTGCTTTCCCTTTCTATGGCCCAGAAAATGGTGATAGTGATAAGAAAAAGCTTAAGAAGAAGAAGAAAGGCTTAAGATGTTATTGTGAGTTTGCTCGCAGGATCTCTGCCAGGCAAGCAAACCAGGTTGGGTTTTCCTTCTTTTCACTCACTTCCAATGAATTATTATTTTTAATTTACACTTTTAAAGTATCATACAAATTGGCTCAAGGAAAGGAAGGAAAAGACATCAACCAGTGCTGTGCATCAAACCATTTCCATCTATCTAGCCATGAAAGCCTTCAACAATACATTTCCATTCAATCATGAACTGGATGAATAAAAGTCAACATTGACACTGAAATTCAACACCACCTGAGCTCTGTGAGTGCAGCCTTTTTCCGAATGGAGCAGAGAGTGTTTGAGGAGCGGGACATCCATAGGGATACCACAGTGCTTGTTTATAAAGCTATTGTCCTCCCAACCCTGCTATATGCTTGCGAGACGTGGACTGTCTACAGACGTCACATGCAACTCCTGAAACAATTCCACCAGCACTGCCTCTGAAAAATCCTGCAAATCTCTTGGGAAGACAAGCGGACAAATGTCAGCGTGCTGGAAGAAACAAAGACCACCAGCATTGAAGCAGTGCTCCTCTGCATCAACTCCGCTGGACCAGCCATGTTGTCCGGATGCCCAACCACCATCTCTCAAAGCAGTTGCTCTACTCCGAACTCAAGAACTGAAAACAGAATGTTGGCGGGCAGGAAAAGAGATTTAAAGATGGGCTCAAAGCCAACCTTAAAAACTCTGGCAGAGACACTGGGAACTGGGAAGCACTGGCCCTTGAGCACTCCAGCTGGAGGTCAGCTGTGAGCAGCAATGCTGTGGAGTTTGAAGAGGCACGAATGGAGGGCAAAAGAGAGAAACATGCCAAGAGGAAGGAGCGTCAAGGCAACCCCGACTGGGACCGCCTTCCACCTGGAAACCAATGCCCTCACTGCAGGAAAAGATCCAGATCAAGAATTGGGCTCCACAGTCACCTACGGACCCACCGCCAGAACCTTGGAGGACCATCATCCTTGGACTACAAGGGATCGCCTAAGAAGAAGAAGAACTGAATACTTCCATGGAACTTTATCTTCACTATCTTTTTTTTTCTCACTCTATATCATTGAATGCTGAAGTTAGGATACTCTATGCCAGGGGTCCTTAAACTTTTTAAACAGAGGGCCAGGTCACAGTCCCTCAAACTGTTGGAGGGCCGGATTATAATTTGAAAAAAGCATAAATGAATTTCTATGTACACTGCACATATCTTATTTGTAGTGCAAAAAAACCCCCACTTTAAAACAATACAATAATTAAAATGAAGAACAAATTTAGCAAATATAAACTTATTAGTATTTAAACGGGAAGTGTGGGCCTGCTTTTGGCTGATGAGATAGGATTGTTGTTGTTGTGTGCTTTCAAGTTGTTTCAGACTTAGGTTGACCCTGAGTGAGGGCCGGGTAAATGACCAGATCTGGCCCCCGGACCTTCGCTTGAGGACCCCTGCTCTATGCTATCACATTTCCAATTTCTATGCATGGGTTTGAAAGCTAGCAAGCCAAGAAAGTAAATAGGAAGAATATCAACTTATTTGACATGTAGTTCTGGATGAGGGCTCTTTAGATACTCGAAAAAAACGTATTAATGGATATTAGTCTGAAGTCTCTCTAGAATCCAAAATGATTAAATTGAGACTGTTGTATTTGGGACATCCAATAAGAAGACATGCCTCATTCAAAAAGAAAATAATCCTTGGCAAATTAGAAGGTAGTAAGAAAAGAGGAAGGCTATATTACCCTCACCTATCCATAGGCAGATAAGTCTCAATCCAAAAAAGCCATCATCCTCAGTTGGCAAGAGCTGAGCAAGGCTGTTGTGTTTCATTATAAATCAAAGTCAACTTGATGACAACTAACAGCAACAGAGAATTCTCAGTGCCTTTAGCAGAGGTGCTAAACTTGTGGCCTGTCAAATGTTTCAGACTCCAATTCCCAGAAGCTCTAGCCAGCCTGTCAAATGGACAGGAATTCTGGAAACTGAAGTTTAAAAACCTGGATGGCCACAAGTTTGACACCACTGAGAATCTAACCAAACTAGAAGCTCCAGAACATCATAGAATGCAGCCACTGGATTTAAAGTGGAGTCACCAGGCTATAATTGTGTAGTGCAGAAGGACACCTGGCTGGTGCCATACTCCTGGATAATCAGTATGGATGAAGCTATTTTTGTTTAGATGCACACAGGGAAATTATAGTTCAGTCCAAAGTGTGACCCTAGGGCAATTATACCACTTTTATCAGAGATGCATACATTTAATAATCAAAAACCCCTCACACTCAGTAATAGGTGGGTTTTTATATTACTGGGGAAGAGTAGCATTTAAAGATTTACTTCATGGGCACTAGTTCCAAAAGTGGGCAGAAAGAAGAGAAAACAGCACCATATATGAATATGGGGTCGGGGAGATGGAATTCTGGAGTCCATTGCTTGGGAGTGATCCTGGACTCATCGCTGAGCCTGGAACCCCAGGTCTCGGCGGTGGCCGGGAGAGCTTTTGCACAATTAAAACTTGTGCGCCAGCTGCGCCCGTACCTTGGGAAGTCGGATCTGGCCACGGTGGTCCACACTCTTGTTACATCCTGATTAGATTACTGCAACGCACTCTACGTGGGGTTGCCTTTGAAGACTGTTCGGAAACTCCAACTAGTCCAGCGGGAGGCAGCCAGAGTACTTACAGGAGCGTCATACAGGGAGCATACCACCCCCCTGTTGTCAGCTCCACTGGCTGCCGATCCAATTCCGAGCACAATTCAAAGTGCTGGTTTTGACCTACAAAACCCTATACGGTTCCGGCCCAGTGTATCTGTCCAAACGGATCTCCCTCTACGTCCCACCTCGGAGTCTAAGATCTTCTGGGGAGGCCCTGCTCTCGACCCCGCCTCTATCACAAGTGAGATTGGCGGGGACGAGGAGCAGGGCCTTCTCGGTGGTGGCCCCTCACCTGTGGAATTCACTCCCCGGGGAAATTAGATCAGCGACATCCCTCCTTTCCTTTAGGAAAAAAATTGAAAACATGGATTTGGGACCAGGCATTCGGACAATCTGGCAGATAAAGAAAGGACTTTGACGATTGACAGGAATTGACAAAGTGGAATGGAATTATGGAACTTTGAAGGACGAATGTTGAGCATGAGATTAGTTTTATTGATTGTGTTATATACCGATTGTTTTAACTGTGATAATTGTTTTAACTGCTGTTTTGTACGTATGTGTATTCTGTGTAGGCATCGAATTGTGCCTTTTTGTAAGCCGCCCTGAGTCCCCCCTCAGGGGTTGAGAAGGGCAGGGTAGAAGTACTCGAAATAAATAAATAATAAATTGCTCACAAGAATAAGGGTGCCTACCTTTTCTTCTCCTCCTGCAGGAGATCCATCAATTGTAGTTTGTCTGCCCTCCATGCCTCATCCAACCTGTGCCATTCATCCTCCAGGGCTTTACTGTCTTCCCTGAGCTCTAATAACTGGCTCTTCAATTCCTGAAGCCTCTGCTTGCTTTCTTCCTCGAGGGCTTGTTTTGGGACAGGCTCTGGAACAGGGCAAGTTTCTTTGCTTTCAGAGAGGGGAGGGAGGTTGACTTCTTCCGCTGCTCCTGCTTCTGTATTACGGATCCTGGGTAGATGAAAGGGTGGCAGTCGGGGGAAACTGGACCTCGAGGTAAAGATGTGTGGTTGTGGCTGGTGCTGTATAGAGACAGTACTAGTGCTACTCTCCTGAGGAGTCAGAACCCTCTGCTCGAGTTTCTTTAGCTGGGCACAACAATCTTGTAGGCGCCGTTCCAGATGGGCAATATTAGCTGAAGAGCGCTGGTTGATGCGTTCAAAGGCCTGACGGATAGAAGGGGCCTTCTCCCGGTCAGCCTTGCTCACCAGCTCCACGTAACAAGAGGTATTATCATCTCGGTTGTTCCTCTCCACTCGCAACAACTCAGATAAGTGTAGGATGCGGTGGCGTAGGGCATCCTTCTGACTACGGTAGGAGGATTGGGAAGTGGTGGAAGCAAGAGAAGCACTGCGCCCCCGACTGGACTCTGTCGGCTACAAGGGTGAAGTAAAGAGACAATAGGATCACAGGAAGAGGCAGTGATTTCCATTCACCAATCACACAAAAGCCCAAATTCAGTTGTGACCTTCCAAAAGCAGATGCATTCAATTAATGGAAATTTGGTAGGTCAGCACGTAAATTCCAACAATTAAATGGTTCTGCTGTAGTAAGAACCAGCAGCTAGATTCAGACTGTGACCCCCTTTTCTATGTATAGGATTATCCTTATTTTGAACTTTCCCAGAATATACTTTGCCATGGCTAATACTAATATTTTACACCATCCCACAGTATGCTCTGTTGTGCCTTCTCTTAGAACACTCAATGTGTCCCTTCTCTCAATACAATGGCAACCACGTAATTCAAAACTAATATATATATATATATATACACACACACACACACACACACACACTAGCCATCCCCAGCCACACGTTGCTGTGGCCCGCATGGGGGATCTGTGTGGGAGGTTTGGCCCAATTATATTGTTGGTGGGATTCAGAATGCTCTGTGATTGTAGGTGAACTATAAATCCCAGCAACTACAACTCCCAAATGTCAAGATTCTATTTTCCCCAAACTCCACCAGTGTTCATATTTGGGCATATTGAGTATTTGTGCCAAGTTTGGTCCAGATCCATCATTGTTTGAGTCCACAGTGCTCTCTGGATGTAGGTGAACTACAACTCCAAAACTCAAGGTCAATGCCCACCAAACCCTTCCAGTATTTTCTCTTTGTCAAGGGAGTTCTGTGTGCCAAGTTTGGTTCAATTCCATTGTTGATGGAGTTCAGAATGCTCTTTGATTGTAGGTGAACTATAAATCCCAGCAACTACAACTCCCAAATGACAAAATCATAGTTTTTTGAGAGATAGTAGTCACTCCTTGTGTTGTGAGACGTTTTGTTGCCAAATTTGGTGTGGTTTCATTCATTGGTTCTTTTTTGTTTAAGGTACTCATTATGCACAGAGCATTTATATATACATAGATAGATAGATAGATAGATAGATAGATAGATAGATAGATAGATAGATAGATAGATAGATAGATAGGTAAATATGTAGCTGCAATAACATGGGAATAGGGAGAATGACAGAATGCAAGAGACCATTCCTCTGGTGAAGTCTGCTTTCGGACTGATACCTGATGTTCACTACCATCACTTGTGGATTCTTTGAACCAAGCTAAGCAGGCCTATTATCACAGCTCCTAATGGAATTATAGAATTTAGCTGTGTTCACCATCTTTCTCTGCCTCCCTCTCCCTACTACCTGATGATTAGGCACTGAATTTTCACTGATATTTCAATATCTGCTGTGTGTGCATGAGATTCAATTCCCAGTCTCAATTCTTTATGGGTAAGGGAAGCAGATGCCAAAAAGGTATATGAAACTGGAGGTTTTTTTGTTTCTTGGTTTGCTTCTTGGAGAACTCCTGATTCACTAGCTATTTCCTAAAGGGTCCCTTTGAAAGAGAGAGGAAGGTGTGGAGAGTATGGTTGTTTATATTCCTGCCCCGTGGGATAGGAATGTGGACAAAGGTCTCTCAAAAAGGCCAGAATTTGGGGAGAGTTCCAAATTCACTGGAGGTGATGCTTGATAAGAAAGATTGGTTTTTGATCCCATCACACCTCTACCTTCTTCTGTTCTGATCCTTAGGAAAATACATGTCCTTGTCATCAGGATATCACCAAACCATGTCACCCTGAATTAGTTTTTTATCTTAAAGGTATAGCAGGGCTGTTCTTCTTTTCACTAGGCAATTCCCTGGATAGCTGGCCCCAGCTAGGACCCAAAAATCTTGTCCTTGCACTTTACTATTGTTGTATTCAAAGTTATAATGATTAATTGCTTTTATCCTTATTGCTGCTATATGATATATACACTTTACTCACTAGCTCTATCCTCTATTGTTGTTGTACTAGTCCACCCACCCACAACGAGACATTGAATTTTGCTATTGTTTGTTGTTTCTGATGTTTGTTCTATATATTACTTAATGTTGTTGTTTTTATATTGTTTTATATTGTTTTTTTGTTATTATTTTGTTGTTATGCATTTGAATATGTTACATTTTAACTGTATTGCTGGGCTTGGTCCCATGTAAACTTTGGGAGATAGCATTGCATAAAATTATTATTATTATTATTATTATTATTATTATTATTATTATTATTATTATTCTCCTCACATAAATGGGTTATTTGTGCCTGATAATGCTTCAGTCAGAATCTTCTAGAGCTCTCACATAAACCTTTTTGCAGTAGACAGCAGCACACTACTTTGGATTTGGAACAACATTTACATGGCCTTGGTTTCAGAAGAGCCTTTGCCTACTATATTGAGTACTACTGCTACTTTCCAAAACTCTCTACAATTATTTGCTAATTTTCTTCATTGTTTTTTCAAGTGGGTAGTCACCACTCATGTTGCATATGAAATGGCTAAGAAAGCTCCTCCAGTTTGAGTTCATAATGATAATACTAGCCCATGATTTTTAATTTGCACTACAGGATAGAGACAAGCAGAGGCGGCCCTAGGTAATTTTCAACAGTAAGCAAACAGTATTTTGCCCCCCCCCAACCAATCACTGATATGGGAGTTCTGTGTACCATATTTGGTTCAATTCCATCATCGGTGGAGTTCAGAATGTTCTTTGATTGTAGGTGAACTAAACATCCCAGTAACTACAACTCGCATATGTCAAGGCCAATTTTCCCCCAAGAGCGCCTCAAGAGCGCCCCTGGGCAAAATCAACCATACTGCAAATGCTTATTTTGTGTAATGGGTTGAGCCGCCCCTGGATACAAGGTCTACAGAAATCACAAATAAGAACAACTTGTCCACATATAACTATAGTTCTTCAAGTGACCATCTGTGAACTTACCCATCATTGTATCTTTCATTTGCTCCCTGGATACTACTGCTGCTTTGGTTTGGTACGTTTGGTGAGGTGCTCAAGGATGGGTGGAGCTATTTCCAAAAGGTGTATGCAGGCATGTAGGCGGGGGGGGGGCTTGGGGGGTTTCAGACCCCCCCCCCAAATTCTCATGGTGGTTCCCGAAAAGGCCTTACTGGTGCATTATTTAAACTGTTATGTTTATTCATATCATGATCTGATCACCATACTCAATATATCCCATATGCATGGGGGTATTGGGGTAATGATACAAAAGGTTTGCTAGGGTAGACCCTCTTTCACTCAGACTCACACCCCCCCCCCCCTGAATCAAAATCCTGGTTACGGGCCTGGGTGTATGTAATAGCCCTAGACAGTTCTGACAAGTGCACTGCTCAGGTACAGATAGCCCATTTATATGAGTTCACAGACAGGGGCGGCTCATCCATTATGCGAAGTAAGCGGTCGCAGAACACTTTTTTTTACCAGGGGCGCAGAGGCGCCTCTGTAAATGCCCCTCGATCGCCACTTGAAGAGCGCCCCCTCAGCTCACAACAGCACCAGCAGTCCGGGAGGAGCCTCGGCTTTCTTGCCTTGCTGCCAGGCGATTCTCTTCCCAAAGGGGCCGGGCCCTTGAGCCTCACTTAGCCCCTCTCATTCCTGCTCCACCCGGCCACCGGGTGCACAAGCAGAGCCGGCGCTCAATCGTTCTCTGCGTTCGATCCCTTCCCCATGACCGGCTCCCTTTCCCGATCCCCCGGCGCTCCACCCGCCTCCTCTCCTCTCCCCAATCCGCGGGTGGGCCAAGGGGCGGAGCCGCCACGCCTGGCCCGCTTTGGGTCGGGGGGCATGTCTGAAGACCCCAGCGTGTGCACCAAAAGTCGCCTCTTCTCCTGACTTTCTCTTCAGCCATTGGAACCAAGAGAGAGAGAGAGAGCCCCTCCGGCTGGAGGTATCTCCCACCTCCGCTCCCTCCTTTGTTTTTGCGCCTACCTTCAGGAAAGGTGGGCATCTCCACCTCTCTCTCTCTCTCTCTTCTCTCTCTCTTGGTCCCAATGGCTGAGGAGAAAGTCAGGAGAAGAGGTGACTTTTGGTGCACACGCTGGGGTCTTCAGGCATGCCCCCGGACCGAAGTGGGCCAGGCAAGGGAGCAAGTGCGGCAAGTGTAGTTACTGGGATGTATAGTTCACCTACAATCAAAGAGCATTCTGAACTCCACCAATGATGGAATTGAACCAAATAGGGCACACAGAACTACCACGACAAATAAAAAATATATATCAATGATTGGTTGGGGGGGGGGGCACCAAAATACTGTTTGCTTACCGTTGAAAATTACCTAGGGCCGTCTCTGTTCACAGATGACTACTCTAAGAAATACAGTTACAGGTAAGCAGCTTGTCCTTTTCTGTACCCTGGTGCAGATAGTGCTTGAGATATTTCCTAAAAAAGCTACATGCCCTGAGGAGAAATTCAGATAACATATTTTGGTCACTCACTGCCGCTAGGAGTTGGCTTGAGGAATCTTCTAACTGCTGAGAGGATTCACCTTTGGATACGTGATCCACCATGGGTGCTGTATGGAAACAGACACATTTAACTGTTATTCAGCCACCCCCTCCTCAAAAGTTCAAGAATAATGAAATGACTTCAAGCAAGAGATATGCTTGTTTCTTTATTTTTTAAAAAAATTGCCGTGATTTCGAAGTGGCAAATGTCGAAGCTGCTAGAGCAGTGATCCTCAACCTGTGGGTCCCCAGATGTTTTGGCCTTCAACTCCCAGAAATCCTAACAGTTGGTAAACTGGCTGGGATTTCTGGGAGTTGTAGGCCAAAACACCTAGGACCCACAGGTTGAGAACCACTGTGCTAGAGGCTCAGGAAGGACCTAGCAGTAGCTGTATCCCAAACTCTATCACAATGGTTCTCAACCTGTGGGTCCCCAGGTGTTTTGGCCTACAACTCCCAGAAATCCCAGCCAGTTTACCAGCTGTTAGGATTTCTGGGAGTTGAAGGCCAAAACATCTGGGGACCCACAAGTTGAGAACCACTGCATCAAATCTAACTCTTTAAGAATGTATCTAATTAATATTTCATGTATATCTTGTATTACTTGTATTCTGTGTCAATTTTTAAATTTGTCAAATGTATCAAATGTCTCTTGAAAACTGCTACTTCCTCTGTGTCTTCAGTTTGTAAAATCCTTTGGAAACAGAGATTGCAGTCAGGGTCCCTCCAGCTATTTCCCAAGTGAGATAATATCAAGACCTTTGTGTATGTATGTAAAGACAGATGATCTCCTTTGTCAACAAGATCAGCTCAGAATGTTTGCCCATTTTTAACTGAAGCAAGGGCTTATTACTCCAACAGGAGAAGGTTCAGCAAACATTCATTCATTAATTTCCTGAATGGGCAGCCAGACCACTGATTATTTGGAACTGTCATCTTGTCTTGCACTCTTTGTTTCAACAGATCTGGACACTTAAGTTACTCAAGGACTCATCTGTATGCCCACACCATCACTTCCCCCTCGTTTGTTTCTTCTTAGGGGACATCTCTACAACGATTGGAACTTTAAACTGACCAACCACTATTCTTCTCACCACGGGGATCCCCCCTTTTGCCTGTGACATCAGGAGAACCTTCGACTAATACCTGCATAAATCCAACCTGGCCCCACTTTTCAACCAATCAGGGGAGGGAGAGGGACATTTGAATAGCTGCCAGAACTGCATAAAATGTTATGGTTTTTTTTTTCTGTGAATTTGTGCTTGTACCTTTTGAAGCATATTGCTTGCACTTGCATCCTATTTGGCCAAATTGTAACAAACCTCTGTAGTTTTGCCTTCAACCCAGGGTGCTTGTCCTAAATCTTGGCTGATCTGGTTTAACAGAGGCTTACCAAACACGGACCTCCTTATTCGTGGTCCACCTGAAATCTCTACAAAACATTGACCCCAATAGATTTTATAGAGTGGTCATAAGTACATGGCTCAACTGCCCCCCCCCCCCCCCCCGCTTTCCTCCTTCCTTTTCTTTAGCTCACTTCTTCTTTGTAAAGCACATTATATTAGTGTTATATCCCCTTTTTTATCTGAAAAAAGCAATGTGCAAACATTAAATACTCAAACTTAAGCAGACAGGATGGAATAAAAACTTATGTAGCAGGTTTCGTGCTCTGAAATATGTGTAAACTGAACTCTTTTTGTAGAATGCAGCATTTCTTCTTGCTCATTAATGCGGAGCTCAATCCACTGGCAGTTTTATTGTGTGTGTCACACTTACATTTTATTGGAACAGTGTTAGGACTCTACCATTTTCCCCCATCCCACCTTACAAGTGGTGAATTGGGTTTCAAGTCTCCCACCTTGTCAACTTTAACAGTATCCCAATTTCTCAGCTTTCAGGAACTACTCAGAGGTGTAGAAAAATGGGGGAGTGGGAAAGATAAAGGCATTGGTCTCCATAAAATAAGTTTATTGAGGAATGACAGTGAGGAATGACAAAAATTACACTTACATGATGCATTTTAATTAGAAAATATACGAGGGGTATTTTTTAAGTAAGGTCATAAGTTGGAACATAAGTACACAACGAAAGTTTATTTCAAAAAAGTAAATTTATTTTCAGAAAGTACATACTTCACTCTATTTTTTGACATAGTTGCCAAGTTTGTTCAAACACTTATCATACCTCTGAACCAATTTTAAAATACCCTCTTCATAAAAACTTGCCGCCTGCTACGATAACCAAGAGTTCACTGCCATCTGTAAACAAAGAAGGAGCGGTCCTCATAATGGACGTTGTCACGGCCATCTTTGAATTGTCGTACCCACTTACGCACTTTGCTTTCACTCATAACAGTATCACCGTACACTTCACAAATCTGTCGATGAATTTCTGCAGCAGGCAGGTTCCTTGCTGACAAAAACCGTATAACTGAGCGAACCTCATATGCGGCGGGTGAGTTGATATTCTTAAACATTTTTAAAGCACAGAACAGAATCATACAGGTTAGCTACTGAGCACAGTTGTTCCTGAGGCATGCCGGTACACGATGCACGCGCTCGCGGTATGCGCGCGAACTACTAGTGTCTACAACACAATGGACCTTACTTAAAAAATATCCCTCGTATTTTGAGACTTCCATAAAAGTAAATAAATTTAAAATGTAATATTTCCCATATGCAAAATAGTGGTATAAGTGAAATAAAAGCAGCAAATGCATGTTGTGCAAGTAATTTTACTATAATGATTGGAACTACCAGTATGGGGACAGAAGGAAAATGAATGGGGGACAGAATTCTTACATGGGAACACAATGCCCTCATTTGCCCACTTTGTTGTTACACCTCTGCAACCACCACCTTCTTGTTTCATGGAAGGTTCTCCTGGTCATCAATTATTCTTCTTTGAAGGTTGTGCATTGGCAGGTAGTGTGGCAGCAACACAACTCTCACCCCAACAAAGCAGCCATTCATGCTGTGTGGCCACAGATTTATCCTTCAGAAACTACCTAGATTGTAGAACAAAGGGAAGGATTGCAAGGTACAGCCATCTGTTCTAGGAAAGTAAAAGATGTAAATGGAAGTTTACAGTTTGATTTATTTATTTCGTGTCAAAAGCATTGCATAAATAAATTAGTATAAAACTGATAAAATAGAGGGAACACAAGCGGCTAAATAACTTTGGACCAAAAATGGGCAATAGTGACCACATTGTCTGTAGCTTTGAACAGTCCTTTCTCTGTGCATAAGGCAGAGCATTTTGGGCAAGCATACAGATGCTGAGTTGTTTGCTCTGCTCCACAGTACACAAGGTGGAGAATTCTTCTAGGTGGTCCCATATAGCCTGGTTATCTTTGATCTGCCAACTCCACTTCTGAGTCTGTTCAGTGACTTCCAAGTTGCCCATTCTTGGTTTGCCCCTGCAGGCAGACCCTTATATGGGGGCCATCCAGTTGGGATTTCTTGGTTTAGCTGCCCACAGGGATACTCTTGCTGTTGCTCAGGAAACATCAAGAGGAATGGTGGTTCTCATGAAACTTTTCCTTGATTTGGGGGATACAAAAAGAGCCTCCTCGAAGACTTGAGTAAATAAAGTCGGGTGTCCCCTGGGCAACGTTTTTTGTAAACGGCTAATCTTTCCAACCCAAAAGCATTGCTTTACAACATTTTTAAACATTTTACAGTTAGATTAGTATGCAGAGCAAGAGGTTTCCTGGTGTAATTGACTGATCAAAAATGAAACATAACATGTTGATAAGGATGCAGTCAGCAGAACTGTTTCTAAATGTTAAGAATGAATGAACCACAAAATGAGTAGATTAATCTTTATTTCAGTCAATGACCATGCCCAAGGCACAATACAATACAATACTGAATTCAAAATATTTACAGTACTATGTGCACAGTCGTATAAAGAAGTAATGTTTTAAATGCTGTACCCCGCACCTGAATTTTTTTATTGCATCTGCACAGAAATTGGTTATCTTTGCTGCAATCTGAAAGAAATTATTAGCCAGAAAATCAGATCAAAGCACTTCATATTTCATAAATGTTCAACTTCTTAGTATAACCTGTTTTATGAATAATCTCAATGGCCTGAGGTTAGGGAATGCTTTAATGGTATATGTTGTAATTTATTAATTTGCTGTATATGGTTTAGGTAAGCGGGTTATTTGCTTTAATTGGCTTATGATGTTATGATGTTTTGTTGAATGCGTATTTTATGTAATTCCTGTTTTTTAACCATTGTATGCTGCTTTGAATCCCACCCATGAGAGAAAAGCAGGATAAGAACAAAATAATAATAATAATAATAATAATAATAATAATTTTACTTTGTAAAAATCTGAGTAATATAATTGTTGGAGGTAAGAGTAGATGGAACAATGCACAAAACTTGTCCTACAATATTCGTTCTCTCTACAGCATAAGAACATACACAATATGGCATTTTATTATATCTTTTGTTTCATACTGCAGATAGCATCATGCCAAATTTGGCCAGAGTAAATGCTTTCCTCTATATTGGAATACCTAAATTAATAAAATAATCTTCAGAAAGAATAGCTTACATTCTTTCTCTAATGACTGTGAAATGAGACACTACACTTATGTGATTTTGTAATTGGAAATTAAAGACCAGCATCATGTAATAGTTTCAGCACTGGATTGCCACTCTGAAGGATATGAATCCCTGCTCCACCATGGAAACCCACTAGATGACTCTCAGCCTCAGACAAATGCAAAGGCAATTCTTCTCTGAACACTCTTACCAAGAAAACTTTAGGATAGATCCTCCTCAGGATTAATCAGAAACAATGTGAAGGCATACAACAGCAATCTCACCCATAGCGTGAATGGAAGCTGTTTCTCATCTACTATGAGGGGTATTTTTTAAGTACGGTCCGTTTTGTTGTAGACACCAGTAGTTCGCGCGCATACCGCAACGAGCGCATGCGTCGTGTACCGGCATGCCTCGGGAACAACTGTGCTCAGTTTCCAATCTGTAGCTAACCTGTACAGTTCTGCTCTGTGCTTTAAAAATGTTTAAGACTATCAACTCAC